CTTCTTTGCTCTTGTTGCTGGTCTGTGCCCTGATTCCCTCTCCCTCAGCTTTTCCCCCTATTCTCTTCGGTCTGATCTTCCCCAACTCCCTGTTTCTCAGTGGATTCTTGGAAACCCCTAAACACTTTATTGTCCCCCAAAAATTTAAAGGTCCTTGAAAATCTACTGGCATTTGTAATACAAATTCTTTTTCTTATTATCCTTTATTATAATCAACTTTAATTATTACATGCACTTAATTACTGGTTTTGAATCTCCTTTGCTATTGTGAAAACATTAACTTTCTTTTGAATAAGCAGTATAATTTTTTTAGAGTGAGAAATCCCCCTAATCTACTCCTTGTCTTATTTTCCTTTCCCTACACTGGGGGATCCCTCTGCGGGTAATCTAGACCATGGATAATTTAGCATGTAAAAGCATGCAATACTACACACTGTACACATTTATATTTATATATGTCCATATACAAGTAATAGGTCTTCTTTTTTAATAGAACACAATACAGTCCTTTAGCTAAGTATGTATGAGAGAGCATCTTCCCCTGTTTATACTACGATATGTCGCCTGTTTTTGATATGTAAAATCAATCTTTTGTGATGTCTAATAATTATGTCTGATCTGTGAGTGTGGATTTTTCCTTCTGTTCTTTTTTCCAATCAGAAATAGTATGACATTGAGCCTCTGCATTTGTTACTTCCTGCAGATTGTGTCATCCTGTCACATGTTTTAAATTTCCATACGTGAACTGAGTTCAAAGGGTTTGACTATTAGAGTTTATGATAGATGTTGCCAAGATATTTTGGGAAGAGTGTCCTAGTGTCCCTTTTTTTTAAAAACTGTGTAAAAGGGCACCATTCTCAGTACTTTCTTTCCTAATTTGTAGGTGAACAAATTAAGTGTTTTTCCTTTGCATTTTCCTGATTTTAAGTGAGCCATACTGACCTTGTTACATGTCTACTGTCCCTTTGCTGAGTGTGACAGTAAATGTGTGCAGTCACTAGGTGTCACTAGAATTCCACTTTGTGGGTCTGTTTAAAGAATGAGTGTTCTAAGAGCAGGCTGCACACTATGGAACGTTCTATAAAAAATTAAAAATACTTTGCACACATCTAGAAAATTTCACAATGCAACTCCCTCATGCTATTAATGATAAAAAATTAAAATTAAAAATTATAAAATTAAAAATAGTAATCCCGTAAGATACAGCCATGCCATTTCTGGGTGTATACCCAGAAGAATCATAGTCAGCTTACTACAGAGGCACCTGCACACCTATGCTTATCACAGCACCATTCACAATAGCCAAATTTTGGAATCAGGCTAGGTGTTCATCAATGGATGAGTGGATAAAAAAAATGTGGTAGACATATAGTGGAGTTTTACTCAACCATAAAAAGAATGACACTGTGTCACATGCAGGAAAGTGGATGGGACTAGATATCGTCACGTTAGGTGAAATAAGCCAGACTCACAAAGATAAGTGTCATATTTTCTCTCCTTTGTGACAGCTGGAGGGAAAAAAAGAAGAACAAGAAAATAAGAGCAGTTATTAACAGATGTGAAAGGCTAAAGGGGGGGTGGGAAGGAGAGATAAGAAAGAGTAATGGGGTGGGGGTGAATATGGAAATGTCATGACGAAACTGCTTACTTTGTTCAACTAGTATGCACTAATTAAAAATAAGTGAATGAAAAGGTAGAGCAGGCTATATAAAAACCACTGCTAGCATTCTGGCATTTCCTTTGGATAGTAGAAAATTTTGTCAAAGAAGAAATTCAGGTGAAAGAAATAAAGTTAACTTAGGGCTCACCTCCAGGTTGTCTAAAAGAAAGCTGACCTGTCTGGAAGCCCATCACCCCTGACAGGGGACATGTTCCTGTCCAACCACAGGCAGCAAGCAGCCTTAGGAACCCTGTTGGGGACCTTCTGCTCCTGGACTCTTCAGGCCCATCATCCTGTGCCCTGCAGTCCCAAAAGGCATCAGTGAGGCTGAACCTTATGGTATTGCTGAGGCGGCTTTACCTTTCCCCTGGCAGCTGGTCCAGCTGACAGGTGCCGCTGCAGCACTTTGGGTGCTGAAGCAGGTGGCAGACTCCAAGTATTTGTCATTTGCATCTCTGGTCATGCCACTTTATGTTTTGTTCGGAAAAAAATTTTTTTTAAATAAAAGCTATTATAATGAGTATTATTGTCATTTTCAAATGAATTAACAAATAAAAACTGCTCAGTTTTAATTTTGTTAGCCATAAGTAATAACTCAGATAAAAAAACTTGTTAGCATCCTCAAATTGTTTGAGCTTAAAGAGCTCTCATGTTCATGCAGTTAGAGAGCTACTGCTTGAAAGTTGCAAGTGTCAGTGGTTTCCAGCTGTGCCAGGTGAGTCTGAGCAGCAGCACTTCCTCAGCAGCCATCCTGGATGCTCCCCACAGTGCCTTGTCCTGCCCGGCTGTTGCAGGGGTCCCACTCCTGCAGGTGGTCAGTGCCTCCCAGGGCTCCAGAGTATGGTGGGTGAAGCCGCGTGAGTCAGGTGAAGCTCCTAGAGAAGGACAGAGGGACGGGGTTCACTCTACAGACATAGTCGGGAGGCAGCCACTGTCAGGGACATGTCCTGAAAATGGGTGTTGACTGCTGGACATTTGCACAAATAAATAAGTGGGAAATGCTACTGAACACGAGGCACCTCTTCACCAAGGAAGGTGCGGCACTTGGCGGTTGGTGGGAAACGGAAAAGGCCAACTCTTTTTCCCACCCCGCTCTAGAGTTTTTCTGAATTCAACACGGACTAGAATACCTTGGGGTTGAAGCCTGTTTCACCCTTGACAGGAATATTTGTATAGAGCAAGGCAAGTTTGAGCTTCTGATAAGTTATTAAAGAATAAGCCATAATATTAATTCCACTTTTTTTTATTCTAGAGCTGTTTTACTCCGTGGTAAAATCCAGGATGGAGTTCGGCAGCCTGTTAACCACAACTCCAAAGGCCCCATTTCAGGGTCAGGGCTGGGACTGGTAGTGGAGGACACCCCTTTTCCCCCAGGGTTCAGTGTGGGTGGGGGCTGTCGGGAGCTCTAGGTGCTTAGTTCAGTTTTCAGAAGGAACACTTGAGAGAAGCTGGTGATCAGGAAATTCATTGCCTTAAAAATTCTCCCAGTGTTGCTGCCCTTTGGAAAGTCTTTGGCACCCTCTACTTAGATGAGTGAGTGGGCTGGTCATCATGCTGGGTTCTTTCCTGGGCAGGGTCGGCAGGACCTCAGTTGTATTAAAGTTCTTTCTTAATGGCCTAGTTCAAATGGCATCTCCTCTGATAGCTGACCCAAGCAGCAGTACCATGCGTTGCAGAGATGCAGGCATGGAGACTGGCAAGTGGTCCATGGGCTCTGGGAGAACTCGAACCTCACTGGATAGAGCTGGGTGCTCAGGGTACAGTCCACAGTGGGGGTCCACGCTTATGCCATAGCTCAGATCTACCTGTGCATTCTGTGCTGTACTCCCAACTCCTCAGGTGGTGCTTGTGTGTTAGGATAATATAACTTGCAGGCTGGAATCTTGAAAAGTTGTTGCTTTTGCTTTTTTGTTTTTGTTTTTTGGGTATTTTTTTTTTTTTTTGGTGGGACTGGGGTTTGAACTCAGGGCTTTGTGCTTGCAAAGCAAGTGCTCTGCCACTTGAGCCATACTGCTCCATTAATTTTGGAGGTGGAGTCTTGCAAAGTATATGCCCAGTCTGGCCTTGAGCTATGATCCTACAGTTCTCAGCCTCTTTTAAGGCTAAGGTGTCACTTTTAAAATCCCCTAGTGCCCAACACAATACTACCTCTGTGGGAGGTTAATGAACTTTCACTGGATTGACTTAATGACTGTGTTTGTGGAATGAACTGGTGACACCAGGTGGCTTGGTAGAGAAGAGGAAGAAGCAGCAAGTTGGCCCAGGTAAGGGCTGGAGGGAGTTAGGCCCGCAGAGCTAGTGGGCACGCAGGGGAAGGCTGTGTGAAGTGTCATGGGGAGAAGAGCTCAGTGCGGGGCTTCCAAGAGGAAGGGCGTTCCTGGTCTCTGGGCTCTGACATAGCATCAGAAAGAGAAAGGTCCAAAAGTTGGCTGTTTTTAGGGCATCTCTTCAGACACTTCTCTTTTTGATCACTAGATGGGGGGCTAACATCATTTTACATTTCTGAATAAACAGAAATCTAGTAGGAAGCTTTTTTGGTCTATTCAGTGTATCTTGACTGAGCAGCTGGTTTGAACTCAGGGCTTTGAGACTGCAAAGCAGACACCCTCCTGCTTGAGCCACATCTCCAGCCCTAAGTATGGGTTCAGTCTATGCAAGCGCGCAAGTTGTTTGCATGTAGAGGACATTATCAGTGTTACGAGCAGTTTCTTCATTGTGTGAAATCATACTTAAACCCAGGCAGGCTGGATTCAGGGTGTGTCTGTACGCATCTTTACACCCTATCACTCTGAGAGATAAGTGTAGAAAGCCTCTTTTCCAAGTAGACAGAATACCTCTTCTACACTGGTATCACCTGTCAGGCAACATCTTGCTGGTTAAGTCAAGCCTTTCTCAAACTACTAACTGCACAGGACTGAACCTCCTGCTGCAAAACAGAGAACGTTACCACTGGAGTTGTTGGGAGACTGACTTCCCACAAGCTAGCCGAACCTTGTCCTTAAGGTGACTGTGCTCTTGATGCTATGCATTTGAGAGTAGGATTGCCCAGCTTCTGTTCATCCCACCTTGTGTGCAGGTACAGCCTAGCTACCCTGTCCTTTTGCCATTCAGTCACTGGCAATAGTGGTAATAGTTGACATTTCACTTGCGGGGAGGAGAAGCTGGTTAAAATTCATAATTTAAAGAGGCAGTTCCCACCTGTTCTCTCCCAGCCTCCTGTGGCTCCATCTCCCATTAGGTTCCACTCATCTTGAGTTGCAGGCTTTCTGCAGACTTGGATGACCGCTGTGTTTCTTAAAATGTACCCGTGTTGAGTTTTGACAAATGTGTTAGTGATTTCACAGCCACAACAATCAAAATGTACAGCATCTTCATCACTCTGAAGTTCCCCATGGCCCTTTGCGGTCACTGTCTCTTCTGCCCCAGTCCTGCCCAGGGCAGCTGCTACTCTTGATGCTGTGGCTAGAGATTATCTTCACCACTGGGGTTTTACACGGATGGTCTCACCCAGCAGGCACTATTTTGTTCTGGCTTCTCTCGCTCAACATGATGGCTTTGATATTTACCCATGTCATTGTGCATAGCAGTGGTTTTATTTCTTTTTTATAGCTAAGTAGTGTTCTAGTGCGTGCATGCACCACCACCCATCTCCTCTTTCCCAGTTGGCAGTGTGGATAGTTTTCCACTTTTGGTTATTGTGCATGGAGTTGCCATGGATGCTCATGTTTGTGTCTTTGTGTTTTCGTCTCTCTTGAATTATCACCCAAACAAGGTGGTCATGTGGCCCTGCGCCCCACCGCAATGGGGATGTTCTGTTTGTTGCACGGCTTCACCAACACTTGGAATTTGTCCACCTTTGCAATTTCAGCCATTAGAGTAGTTATGTAAATATGCCTCGTGTTTTCTCTTCTGTGTTTTCATGTCTCGTTGGCATGCCATACGACTTAACTATTTCACGTTCACGATCCGCTGCTTTTGAACCTTCACAGAGGTGTGCAGCTACCACCATGAGTTTAAAGCATTTTTATCATCTCAAAATGAAGCCATCCCTCAGCCAGGGCGACTGCTAATGCACTTTCTGTTTCTATGGATTTTCCTATTCTGGACATTTCGTTAAAAAATGCAGTCACATAACATGTGGCCTTTGTGTAGGCTTCTTAGCAAGGTCTTTCCTGTTGTCTGCCATATCAGGATTTCATTCCTTTTTCTGATTCAGTAATGCTGCATTGCATGTGTACACATACCCAGAGTAGAGAGAAGACCCAGGCATGACAGGACTCATGGTGAAAAGCAACCATCCCTTTCTCAGTCCCCTGTTCCGATCCCTTGGAGGGGTCCGGCTGTTCTGCAGTCCTTAACTCTCACCTCCACGTGTCTGCGGTGGTCACAGCCTGATCTTTGATTTGGATGTTATCTAGTGATGTCTGATAGGGAAGGGGAGGAGTTAGTTTTCAACTGGCGCCCTCCCAGGCTACCTCGTCCCACGCGCACGTGTGTGCACGTCAGTACAAACACGCTCTTTTTTCTTCTCTTCATTTCAGTGTACATGGTAAATTTAGGCTAAGTCAGCAGTGTGTGTGTGCATTACTGTGACTGTGAAAGTGTGTAGCTGAATCTCAGAGATTACCATGAATACGTTTCCTTTCATGTAAACCTTTTGTTTTCCCGAGCTTGGCCTGGCATCCCTCAGTTCAGAGCTTCTGGGTTCCAGTTGCCTCAAAGTGACCCTGCGCCTCCACTGTGGTGGCGCTTGAGGGTGAGTGTGTGGTGAGGGTTGCAGCTCCCCCAGTGTCCCAGCAGCCCTCTGCTCAGCTCTGCTGCCCAGTCCTGGGGGCTGCTGCACCTGAGCCCCTGAGGCTGGCAGCCATGACTCCTCCCAACCTCACCCCGCCCAAGCCCTGGTTTCCTTTTTCTTTATTTGTTTGCCTTTTGGTTCCCCAGACAGCTCTTATCTCCTCCTTATTTTTGTTGGTTTATGTCTTTTTGTTTTGTTTTACTGTCATTTTATTGGGAGTTTGGGGTCAAGAGAAGACTGTGTACGTATTCTACCAGATTTAACTAGAGGTCAAGAACTTTTCATTTTTATTACCTAAACATTGCTCAGTTTAGCCCTGCCCCCACTGCCCCTGCTGAACCCTCAGCACCTCCTGTCCAGTTATTACAGTTTTGTGACTGGCCTCCTGCCCCAGTATCGTCTCCTGGAAGCTGTCCCCCAGGCGGCCTGACCAGCCTTCCCTGCCAGCTCCAGGTTCTTCAGCATGGCACGTGCAACCCCATGGTGACCTGAGCTCCTTCTTCATGGTGGATCTCTGACTTGCATTCATTCACTTAGTCATTTAGATACTCTGTTTCCCAGGAACTCTGCTCTCACCCTGTGGTGATTTTGTCTGTTTCTGGGGGCGGGGGGGTGGGGAGGGGAGTGGGAGGCCCCTGTCTTCCCAAATCTGCACCCATCAGAACTGAGTCTGGTAAACTGTCTGGGGCATTGTTCAGATTTTGAGTGACTCAATGCTAAGAAGCAGGTAATGGTTGGAGAATCCAAAGACTAGAGGGTCAAGTGGTGTAATGAGAAGAGAAATGGCAGGTGTGGAAAGGGCACAACTACAGGAGCTGGGATGGCACACCTGGAACTCCAGGTGTCTTGACCGAAACACACAAAGGAAAATCAGTTTGGGAGGAAGGGAACAGTCTCTGGCTTCGGTGTTATTAGGCCCCTCATAGCTCTAAAGTGTCTGTTTTATGTCCTGTTTACTCTTACTTTATACAGCTAATAGCGTCTGCTTTTACAGTTTGAAATTTTTACATGGCTAAAATTGGTGCATAAAAATTGTACTTCATACACTGCCTCTCATTTCTGTTCTTTTTTTTTTTTGAGACAGAGTCTCACTATATAGCCCAGGCTGGCCTCGAACTTGTGATCCTTCTGCCTCAGCTCCCTGGGTGCTGGGATGACGAGTATAAGCCATCACACTGGGCTCCCTTCTGCTCTTATGCTTTTTTAATGTGCTGTTTTTAATTAGCCTATAATAGTTGTATAGGGGATACATTGTGACGTCTACAAATGTGCTTATAGTCTGTCTTAGATTAACCACCACTATCATTCTCCCTCTTCTCTCCTCATCTCCTTCTTAGAACAATTTCAGCGGGTTTCATACTTCTGTTTTCATGTATGAATACAAAATACATCCACCATACTCACCTTCATTCACCCTTTCCCTATGTCTTCCCCCTCCCACTTGAACTCACCCTGAGAAAGACCTGTTTTACTTTACTGTTCTTCATTTTTTTTTAAGTGTATACTAACAATCCATGGGGATTTCACCTTGGCATTTCAGACATGTATATATTGTGCTTTAATCAACTCCCCCACCATTGCTCACTCTTTCTCTGTCACCACGCTCCCTGATTACTCAACACTTACGGTGTTACGTTATATTATACTCATTTATAGATGGATTGTTTCAATATTTTTCATTCTCTAACATTTTCTTTCCCTCTCAGACAGACCCGCCAATACAATCTTGGTCTGTCTCGATCATATATGTATTTATGTATACATTTAACTTACAGCTCTAGCCTCTACGTATGAGAGAAAACGTGTGACCTTTAATGTTTTTGTCTGCTCTTACACTAAAATGAATAAACAATAACAAAAAACCCTACCATGGAAAAGAGATTTTGACAGTGTCATTTAGACTGATATTTGCATTAGGTATTGTATATACGTATTGTAAAAGAAATGTCTACTAAAATCACCTGTGCATGGGTTTCTGCCACAAGTACGGTGGACTGCCGTGTGACTCCAGTAGAGACACGCGCTTACTGGGCTTCTTGACTTGTTACACAGATGCAGGACAGCCGGAGCACACGTGGATGAGTCCTTGTTCCCCGCGGCCAGTACCAATGAGCGCTTACCAAGCCTGGTAAGAAAAAAGGTGAGTCCGCAACTTCCATGTAGATGGGCATGTGAATTCACTCATTCCTAGAAAATAAGACTGTTAGAAATATTTTCAGGAGTGTCTTAACCATGCTGTTGATCTTACTGTTCTTCTCACGGGGTGTTTTAGCTCACTGTGGGCACCGCCTAGTCCTATAAATGCTTTGATATAATCTGTAGAAATGGAAGAGGCTGTGGTGGGAAGCTGCAAGTGGCCCAAGGGTTGGCCAGCCCTTAGGGTTCACTTCAGAATTTGGGGCTCACTTTAGAATTTTCTTGTTGTGTCTGTAGTATTGTGTCTTGGTTCCTCTCGACTGGAAAGTCTCAGAAGTCTGATGCAGATATACCCAAGTGTGCAAAGTCATTTATTACAGAAAGCTTGCTTTAGAAGTAGAGTTCAAGACACTGCTCTCCTTGAAAGTCTCTTTCGCATTTGAACTGCGGCCTTTTCAGTTTTTTATTTTTGAAAAGTTTAGTTTCTTTATTTGATGATAACCTAGTTTTCTATGAAACATCTAAACTACTTTGTTTTTACTTAAGAACCTCTGTTAGAAGATATGATGACTTTCTCCAGACTGAATTAGGTACAGGAGAACTGTACTAAAGATTAAAATAGAAGTAGCTTTGGCCTCTCCACATTTCCTAAAACTCGTACATGATAGATCTCCATGGCACTACCTCAGCCACTGGCCAGGCAGGGACGGAGAAACAAACGTCCCTCAGTCTCCTTCAGAACTTCTTATCTGATGGCAGCCAGAAAGTGTTTGGCAGAGTGTCCTGACAGTGACATGCTAAAACAAAGGATTTCTGGTAAAAACATACCACCATGCATATTTTCATTTAAAGCACTGTGACGAGTCTCCTTTGGGTTTAGAGTCTGCAAGACTCATTACTCACGTACAGACACACAGGCTCCTCATGAGCCAACTCTGCCGTGTTAGGCATAAAACTTGCTGGGTTGTTTTTGGTCATACCATACCAATTCCACTTCATGTAACTACTCATTTCTCTGCCATACAGTGTGAATGTGCCCTTCCTGTACTCAAGCACGTTCAAGTCATTGTCAGTTTTACTAAGCATATCACCTGTGTGATACGTGTGAGCTGTTCTTCCAGGTTGTGTGTCTAGAAACAGAATTACTGGCTCAGTGTATACACATTTCGAGTTTTACAGCTGCATCAGTAGTGTACATGAGTGACCAATGCTGTGTATTACTAACCTTCTTCATTTTTCCTAATCTGATGTGTAAATAATGACTACTTACATACTTTGCTGCTTGAATTTTTACTCATGTCTGAAACCTTCCCCTTTCCAAGTGTAATTGCAAATTCAATATGACTTGATACCTTATTATTTTGGGTTCTTGGAGGAAGTTCTCTTTTTTTCTCCCTGTCACTCTTTCTGCTACCAGCCTAACCAGCTAGCTTGCTGCTCAAAACATACCAAGTATGTTTCTATTTAGAGCCATTCTTTGCATTGTCTGTTCCAACTACCCAGCATCTGGGAACTGGGGACACAAGGCGGAGCCTCCATCCTGCTGACAGTTTCCCATGTGACCCTGCCCAACTGGTAGAGCCTTCCAGGCCAGCTGCTAATCCCCGTGATAATAGACAGTGTGGAAAAGCTATCCCCACTATCCTCACACTCCTTGGACCTATGGTTACAAAGTGGCACCGTTCATTCGTGTATCTCATGCTGTGCAGCAGGATGCCTGCTGAAATTAACCTCCCAGCACAATGCAGTATAGCTTAGTCATTTACTAGGTTCCATTCTGGTCGTTACTTCTTAGAATACAAGATCAAATCTTTCTAGGCTCAAGACCAGTGCCTGACACATACAATGTTTGTCAATGAATGAGTGAATAATTAGCAGATAGAGCAAGATCCCAAGTCAAGAACACAACTGAGACATGAGCCTTAAAGGGTCATGTGTCCTACAAGATGGCAATAAGAAGCTAGACCAGGCACCTATATAAACAAGTTTGTGTTGTAGCATCAACCTTAAAAGCCAGAGACTTCCACAGAAGACCTAAACTTTTCTGCGATGCTTGCTGGGAGGGCTCGGGCAGAGAAGTAGTAGGTTTAGTCAGTGTGTAAGGTGAAGCTGGACTGTAGAGAGGCACAGTGAGAGGATCTGAAGAAGAGAAAGTGGGTGAGGCACAGAGGCCAGCTGTCTTAAGATGGTAAGATACGCAAGTTAACCTTGGTTTTCTGGGGGGTTCACCTGTGTGTGTAGCTAAAACTTTAGTGTTTTACTGGCTGAATGGAGGACATGTGGCTTAAAGACAAGAAGGCAAGCTTAAATAATGGTTTCTTTTTCCTTGGTAATGATGCCTTTGTGCTTTATGGAAATGTTAGGAGTTTGGAGGAGGATATGTGAGAATAGTGAAGAATGGAAAGCAGCTAGCTTTCCTGAGAGCCTTAGGAGATGCTAGGAATACTGGCATCCTGAAAATGCTCAGAAAACAGCTATGCACAGCCTTTCGTTTGATCTTTCAAAATCTGTCCCTTTAAAAAATAATTGTACAAAAAGAAATACTGTCAATTCACATGTAGTGCAAAAAACACCCCTTTAAGAAATTTTTTTCCATTATCCAAGAAATTCTAATTATTGGTATTATGAAAGGTATTAGAAATGTTTGGGAAAGGGTATTTTCCTGTCTTAGAAACAATCGCAATATGGAATTAATAATTTTTATGTCCTTTTGCACAGCGTAAGTGTATGCAACCCAAAGATTTTATTCCAAAAACACCAGAAAATGATAGAAGACTTCAAAAGAAATTTGAAAAGATGTCTGAAGAGCTACAAAGGCAAAAGACAACTCTAGGTGAGCCAAGAAACATAAAATAGCACTTGCCTGATTGCTCAGGGTACAGAGGACCAGATAACTGAGGAAGACTGCAGTTGTGTTAGGCTAGGAAGGAGAGCACAGAGGTGAGTTGAACACCAGAGGCTCAACCAGAAGCTGTAACAACTACAGGGTAGAGGAATCGAACAGAGTCTTCATCATTTATTAAGTTCATGGAACTTTGTATTTTTAGGAATGGTTATAGAAGAAAAGCAAACTTTGATAAAGTTTTTTGAAATAAATCTCATTTATTTATTTTTTATGTTTCACTTTTTTTACTTAATACTTGATCTCTTGTTACTCAAAACAGGCAAATCTTTGGTGATATACTTTTAATGATTTAGTAAGACACCCTGAGCATACTTCATGTAGTTAGGTTCACAGGTGTGGGCATGCATTGAGAGTGAGCTGTGGTTAGTAGGGAGCTTTCCGAAACTTGGGTGTGAAACCACCTTTAGGTTGCGTTCTGTTTTCACAGCTTCTTGCTGGTTGTATGATTCTGGGTGAGGCATTGAACTTCCTCCTGTGTCTTGGTTTCTTTATCTTTAAATGAGGATGCTGGCACCTGGTGTGACTGGCATAGGGCCTGGGTACAGTAGGGCACTGAGTTAGCACAGTGCCCTGCATGTGGTAGGAACTCAGCAGGTGTCAGCCAGCAGTGGCTGCATGGCAGTGCCATGGCCATGGAGGTGGAGGGGCACGCACCCTGTTAGTGGAAGGAGCTGATACTATTGAAAGGGAAAGGAAAGGCTGGCGGCAGGGAGTGGGGGGGGTTCCTTAAAAGGAGTCATGCTGTTGGTGTCTGAAGGCATTTTCTTGAGCTTAAACTTGAATTCTTCTTTGTTTTCAGAGGACGATGTCCCTGTCCTCTTGTTTGAATCCTGTGGCTCACTGATGTATAGCCCCACAAATAAAATTAGCAGTCACCACAGTGCCATGGAGAAGAGATTACAAGAGATGAAAGAGAAGAGGGAAAATCTTTCCCCTACCTGTAAGTGATCAGTTCTAAAATGAAAAGAAAGCAAATTGTTGAATAGCTGGTTTTTTTTTTTTTCTTACCTAGTTTTTTGTTTTGTTCTAGCTTTTGCAGTGCTGGGGATTGCAAGTAGGGCCTCACACCTGCTAGGCAAGCGCCACACCACTGAGCTGTACCTACATCTCTCTTTACCTGTTCTTAGTGTTAATTGATTCTAATGCCTTGACTTATTTCAGTGAAAACCTTACTAGTATTCCAGAAAATCTTACACTTCATTAAGATTTTTGAAGCATATATTAGGGGTGTAGTATTCTCTCCATTTAAAATCCTCTTTGTCATAGCTTATCATTTGTAATATCTTTTTTATTTTTTAAAAGATTAAGTTAGTCAGTTCTGTGTCTTTCAAAGGAATTTACTTTGCATTAACGTATCAGCTTTTTTTTTATATCTAACTACTGAGCACTAAGTACATTTTAATAAAGCATTTAACATAGCTAATTGTAGAAAGTCAATCTTATTCTACCTAGTTGCTCTTTTTTGCTGGAGGATAGCCTGCTTTAACTTGATGTGTTCTTCCAGATTTTTTTAAGCCCCTGTCTTCTCCATGAATGCATGGAAATGAGACAGGTCTGGTTTCTGTGTAGAGGTGAGATTTATCTTTTTATTTAGATTGAATGATGGCATATGCATTTTTACTTAGCTCTTTCCCCTACTTTTTAGTGTTTTACCTGCCCTACCTGTGTCTAACATGGACACTTATATTCCTTTATACTTTATGTACTTTAATGTTAATTCCTTCTTTTTTTTTGGTGGCATTGGGGTTTAAACTCAGGGCCTCGTGCTTGCTAAGCAGGCACTCTTACCACGTGAGCCACTCTGCCAGCCCTCACTATTAATTCATAAAGACAGGATTTAAAATTTTTGATATAGTCAAACTACCCTTCAAAAAATTGGGGCTATTTTACCCTTCATCAATTATATACAACAATGCCAGTTTCAATCAGATGTGGTAGCAGACCCCTGTAATCATAGCTACTTAGAAGCCAGAGTCAGGAAGATCGCATTCATCGCCAGCCTGGGCACAGGTAGCAGTGAGATTCCGTCTCAAAACAAAATTTAAAAAGGGCTGGGTTATAACTTGAGTGGTTAGAGTGCCAGTCATGTGCAAGGACCTAGCTTTAATTGTCCAGTACTGAAAAAGAGAAAAGAAAAACCAGAAAAACCAGTTTCCCCATACTCAGAAAATTAGATGGCATTATCCTTTAAGTCACTTTTAATCTGAAGAGTAAAAACTATTTTGCTTAATCTGCTTCGGATTATTAGTGAGATTGAGTGACTTCATATGTTGTCTTGCTAAGTGTAACTTCTAATGTGTTACCAACAATTGCCTCTGAATTTTTTGTCCATTGACCATCTGCCTATTAATGTTTTTCATTTCTTTAAAGTTTGATATTTAATCTGTCTTGGGTTTATATGTGTTTATGACCTAAAGTGGACACCTGTATCAGTTGTTAGTTTGAGCTGCACATAACAAAGAAACACAAAGCCAATGGTGTAAATGAGATAGAAGAGCATTTTTCTGCATGTCAAGTCTGGAAATAGGCAGATGGGGCTCAGGTGGCCTTGCTGTGGAGTCTTTAAGAATCTGGTTCCATCTTTCTGTTTTGCCTTCCTTGGTACTTCCCTTCAGTTCCAAGCATATGTGCCTCCAGCCGAGTCAGCTCCCCGTAGCAGCTGTAAAGACTCCCCATCTGATATCCCTGCCTATTCTGGTGTCTGGGACCTGGCCATATGGCCACGCTTGGTTACAGGCAAGACTGCAATGTGGTCTTTCCTAAGATGCAGTCGGGGTTCTGTTGCTAAGAGGGAGCTGAGAATAGATATTGAACAAGTAGCCACCTGGATGTTAGGCTAGCCAGGTGGCTTCCTCGTGTAGTTAAGCATACGGACTCATCTATCCATGACTCTGCACTGTTGAATCTGTTGCTGAACTGCATCCAGTGCAGTTTAAACCTCAGCAGCTGGGCACTCAGCCCTGTGCTCACCTTCCTTATCCAAATTGGCCCTCTTTCTACAATCATTTCGAGTTTTCTCCGAACAGTAGTACCCTTTGAGCCTCTGTTAAAGTTGTCTTTGGGCATGATACCCAAACATTGCTTTTGTTTCTTATCTGTTGCACACACAGCCTTTGAAGATAACTTTTATGGTTTTATTTGTTAAATCACTGGTGTCCTGGATATTTTCTGTGAGACCTGGAGGCTTGTCAACCTTGGCACTATTGACATCTTAGGACAGTTCTTTGTGTTGGGCACTGAACGTTGCATGGTAAATGTTTAGTAATGTCCTCAGCCCTTGCCCACTCCACAATACCAGTACCATCCTCAGCCCCCACACTGAAACATCCAACAAGGCCTCCAGGCTTGACCAGGTGTCTTCTGAGAGCCCAAATCAGTCCTGATGAGAACAGCTGCTCTAGTTATAGAAGTAACCACTGTGAGTTTCCTTAAGAAAGAGCCATGATTTTCAACAGAAGACATACTGAAAACATCCATTTGCCTTTATTGAGCTTCTTACTAGATTCAGGCAAGTTTGTTTTTCAAATCACTTCGATCTTTTATGATTTTATCACATTTTTAATAATGAGCAGTACAGGTATTTTTGATGACTCTCATCACCTGCAGTGGACTCACTTGGGGTCTTTGTGCTGTTCTAAGTCTGGGATATGCAGCAGAAGGAGGGAGTCAATGTGTGAGAGAGACATAATAGCAGAACAGCAGACTTACTGTGTGATGTCTTACCTACCAGAAAACAATGCAGTGGATTTAGTGAAGTGGTTAATTCTCTCATCAGCTTCCCAGATGACTGAGCAATCTCAGGAGAACCCAGATACCTCTCTGTGTGAAGCATCTTTGAACATTTCACAGAATCCTTTGTGTTCAGGTAAAATTTTTATTGTCTTTGTTGTGATAGATTTACCATTCCAGAATCCTATGACTTTTCTATTTAGAATTTCATGTTGTTAACCGATCATGGCAGGGAATGCCAGTAATCCCAGCTACTCAGGAGGCATAGATAGCAGGATTGTGGTCCAAGGCCAACCCTTGGCAAAACGAGCAAAGCCCTGTCTGAAAAATAACTAAAGCAAAAGGGGTCGAGGTTGGCTTAAGTGGTAGAACACCTGCCTAGCAAGCTCAAGACCCTGAGTTTAGACCCTAATACTGCCAAAAAAAAGAATTTCATGTAGTTTCTTCTACTGAAATGAACAACTGGTAAAACTAGAACTCACAGATTTAGTATTGTAATAATATTGACAAATGAGAAATTCCTTAGTTAAACCTCTTTTTGGCTCCTGTGGGTTCTCTCCTGCGTAATTGTTTTCTTGCTACAGAGTCAATTGCTCACTTTAAAAAATTCTTGTGCCCTTACACGAACCGATCTGCATGCAATTTAAACTGTGTAGAATTGAGTCAGAGCTAAGAAAAAATGGCTTTGCACATGCATAATGAACATGTGGAACGTGTTATTGAAGGGGGTCGCTGTGTGTGTGCATGTCTGTGTATCTTTAGTGTGAGGGTTCTTGACTTGCTTGGGATGATAATTTCTCAAGTTATAGCTTTCCTTTGGTGGTATCAAATCTCTTACACTTTTCTTGCCCAGCCTCAAGAGCTGTCCAAAGTGCGTGAAATGTATGGATGCCTTGTGAAGGCCACAGCAGTGACAAGCACACCCAGGGTGAAGGTCCTGGGTTTAACCTGAGGCTTCCTGGTTTGTTCTTTCCGTAGCTCCTGTATGTGTTGGAATTATTTACACATTTATCGTAAATAATCTTTTTAAATGCTGGATACATTTATTTTGCGTAGGTCAGAGGTGGATGATGGTAACCTAATACTGATTTCACTTCTGCCGCATGAGGTGCTGCTCCCCACAGCTCACTTACTGCATCTCCTTTAGTCTCCCTTAGCCCTGTGAAGGAGGTAGCATCACCTTCCGCATTTTGCCACAGAGAAAACCAGGACACATGCTGCATATCACCTTTTCAAAAAGTGCAGTGAAAGTATTCAGCTGTTAAAACCAAAGTGACATATACTCCCAACTTCTGCCTAAAGGCACACTGGCACCAGCCCTCTGTGCCTCCCTGCCTTCCCAGAGCACAGCTGCAGGGAAAGGGCTTCTCAAGAGCGAGTGCCCGTGTCCTTCCTTTGTAAAAGTAGACTTCAGTGATTTCAGTCAGCGTTACAGCACCCTCATTGCCTCCAGACCGTGTGGGGTTCTCTAAATTGGTGGTCCTCATCCAGGCAGCCATCTCTGCACCCCACTGGGGAACCAGCAGCAGCCTTGGGTAGAGTTCAGATTGCCAAATGAAAAGAAAGTGGGGTCCATCCTCTGGCAGCTCATACTGTGCCAGAGGGACTCATCGCTTCAGTGTGGTGTGATGTGTGTTGCTGTGTGACAGGAGGGTGTGACTGACTGCACCTGGAGAGACCACGGGGTGGCGGTGGTGGGGGGTGAGGGGGTAGAGAGATTTGCAGGAATGCTGACACCCAGATGGTTTGAAGGGCGAGTCCTACTTACTCACAGTGAAGTGTGGAGGAAAGGCAGGTGTAAAAGATGTGGAAATCTCAGAAGGTGGGTGGCAGTCTAGCACCACTCTCAAGAAAGACATGCTGTGCAGGAAACCAGAACATTAAGGGGTCCTGGATGCTCACTTCTGAGTATATATACACACACTTGCTAGAAGACAGGGAAGGTAAAGGTGAGCTATGTTAATTAGGGGAATGTTGCATTGGAGACCAGAACAGTAGCAATTGCTGTGTTCTAGAGATACTGACCTCCTAGAGAATTTATTGATGAACTGTTAAGTGCACGTGCATATGGACACTTGGCTAGTCTCTAGAGGTTCATTACCTCTCACAACCGCTATCCATCTATGAGCAGAAGCCCTGGTTCCCTAGTATAAAGTACAGGCCTTAAAGATGGTCCCTGAATGGAAATGAGAAGAACCAGAACAGGGCCAGTACTTTTCTTAACTAATAACTATGCTTTAAAAATTATTTTAATGATTAGCTGAAATTATTTTTATAGTAACTTAAAACATTTTTAAAAGTTAATTATTTATGAATATTTTCCAGATGAATCCTTTGCTGGTGGTTTACACTCATCTTTTGATGGTCTGTGTGGAAAATCAGAATGTGGAAATCAGGAAAGGAAATGGGGAGAATCTGTTAATGAAATTAGAAGTGATGCATGCACCTCCTCACCTGGGTTGATGACAAATATCCACTTGTCAACATCATCCAGTGACCTCAGTCAATCCAGTCCTCAGAAACCCATGAGCAGTTTTGCAAAGGAAGAAATAAATCAGGAGAGAGATATTACAGCTGAAGCAGTGGCCCTGGGCCAAACACAAGTCGAAGGTGTGTCTAAGGCGATGCTAGGGAAATGCATTTTGTCTCCTACCATATCTACCACAAAAGACCTCCTTTTAGTTCATTCAAGACCCAAAAGTTCCTCAGCAAAGAGAAAAAAAGTGGCAGTGGACATACATTCACCTCCACGGCAAAAACTGAAGAGAAGGAGGTGCAGCAGCAGGGCTGCCACGCAGCACCTGCAGCTGTTCAAGTTGGAGCGCCACCTGCCAACCATGGCCACAGCTGCTCTGGAGTCTCCTGATGCTGGAGGCTCCTCTTACGAGGACTACTTTTCACCTAACAACCTTAAGGAAAGGAGTCCCAGGCCTCTTCCTTCCCACTTCGCCTGTGGAAGTCTCTCTAAAAGGGAAAGAACAAGCATTCTAGGGATGGCTGACTTTTCCTGCATTGGGGAAAAACCCTCAACAGTCAACATTACCGATTTAACAGCAAAACCTAGCTTCAGTCTTCAGAAACCCACAAACGACAAAGGGAATACAACATCTGCTAG